GAAATGTGGAACACTCACCGTCTAAAATCATTAAGCCCCATTCTTGTGTTTGCATAAAATTCATAACCTGCCAAAAGAAAAAAACCAGCTCTGCGAGAAGGCACAGATACCAAATAGTGCGCCCTCTAAAAGCCTTAACCATAGACCTTTAGAAGATATAACGAAACGATACCAACCTCGCCAGCCTCCCAGGATCTTTTCCCCGTGAAAGACACCATAGAGTACGTAGATATTGCAATATTACAATCTGTTAAAAAAGAAAATATGAGAGTCAGGTATATCTTTATAGATGAGTACGGGGCGTCTACCTTAGTATCAGTTATGACACTCATTGATGGAAACAAGAGTCATTTCCTACTCATGAAACCTCTCCAATCATGAAAGATACGTACTGACAGGTTTGTCTTTCGCGTCTGAAGTAAAACGGCAGATTGTGCGATCGTCAATGGTTGACCACATCTTAAACTAGAGTGAAAAAAAAGCAAATGGAGGCAGCACCGTAAATACGAGGGGCAAGATACCTACAACATGACAGGAGTTAAAATTCTAGTTAATTACAGAATGGATGCCAACAGCCCGCTTAAGCCAGAATGAAGGTTTTTTTTCAGAGTGAATGTCTTGTTCACAAGAATAACGTTATGGCACCGTAAATATACAACATGCGGACAGAGAGAAGCTCTGTGCCTGAAATGTGATGAGTACTAATTCTCATACTGGTAATTTCATACAACTAGCCAAACCTGTGTTCTCCATTGTTCTACTGCAACACCTTCGAGGAAATGAAGAAACGTATATCATTCTCTAAGTGCAAAAGTGGCAGGGAAAAATGGAGATTCTGAGGTTGTCCATATTTGAAACCTCTCCAGAAAACGATTCCAAATAACACTTAAAGGAAACTAGCTAATCAAACAAGCTGGCCACTAATTTGGGCCATAAATTTGATCAGTCATGCGAGGTAGCTCGGAAAGAGCGCGAGGGAAAAAGCGCAGAGTAGGCGCGAGGGAATAAGCGCGGGACGAGCGCGAGAGAAAAAGCGCATAACCTGCCCTCTCACGTTCGTGTTCGTAAAATCCCAGGCGGCTTTTACATCACTGGACGATAATAGGAGAATAAGTGGAAGGTCTGCGAAGAGCCTATGAAATTGACACTAGAGTATTGAATAAGGGACGTGGGCGTGCGTCTTACCTGAAGTACAAAGGACAAGGCATCGCTTTCTCACAGTACATGCAGCCGTCACTCCTACAAGAGTCTTCCCAGCTCCTGTTTATACAAACAGAGAGGCTAAAATGATCAGTTTCCGCTTTTTTTTTTATTTTTAAACAGAGTTTGACTTTTCTCTACTTCGCTCGTATTTTGGTGTAGAAAACTCGTGCCATAGTCTTAACCAATTAGATAACAAGGTAACACCTACGGTGACTTGGTTATTCGCGTTTTCTCGCGCTTCAAGCAGTTTGTTTATTTATATTTTGAATTTCCCCGAGGTCTGTAGTATTTGCCTATTTACTGATTGGAAATTGCGATTAATTCCTGCGCTTGCATATTTGAGGCGCAGAATTTTAATATACTTTGAACCTCACCACAAGGTAAGACAATGACACCAGATCTGGCTCTTCCGTTACCAAACATCTTCCGAAGGCTTTTTTCCTAACGGAAAAAAAAACTGGGATTATTTGAGATGAACTACACTGGCACTGTCTCAGATGAAGGACGATGGGAAAAAAATGAACGACCACAACAAAATAACAAATATTTGGCGCTGGAAGTGAGGACAAAAAGAGGGTGGATGGAAATTTATATTGGAGACGCATAGTGAAATGGAGTGATTCTATCTAGCCACGAGACTCAAAAGGGCACAATGATGCTCCTTTCAAATTCGCTTGTGCCAAGTAAAAATACAAATGGAGTGTTGTGGGAACAGCAGCAAGGGGTTGATTCACACCGTAAAGGCCTCTTGTGTTGTGAGATTACAAAACGTCATCTACAACTTTGCAAACGATCTAAATTACAAAAATATGCACAGGTAAAACAAGCAAAACTCGAGTAAAAGTCACCATACCTGATATGGCCTTAAAACTGTAGTTGGCTTTAGGTCTATGCTGTCAGAAAAAAAGGTTCAAAATACGCCAATTAAATGAAATTTGTTTATACTTGTCAATTTACTGGGGGACAAATTTGGGGACATTTGACGCTTAGGAGGACAATCATTATTTATTGCCAGAGATGGGGAGGGGGGAGGGGGGGAAGTAAGAAGGATTTTGGGGGGATCACATGGTTTCTAGGAGGAACGCAAAGGAGACCAGTAGTCGCCAAATGAGTATTAAGACTATACAAAAATAACTGTTGATCAACTCCACCCCCACCACCTCCCCACCCCTCCCCTGCAAGGGATAAAGTCCTTTTGACGTGAATTTTATGCGGCCGGAAATCTCACAACGCCGCACCTTAGAATAAACCCTTAACTGATAGAGTCACCTACTTCAGATCAGGATTGACTGCGTCATTTTTGAAATCATATTCTGCTAGTAAAGGATAGTCCAGTTCAATGCACCTGAAAAGAGAAAGTAAAGAGCTTTCTTTAGGTCAATCTATAGATTTCTGTATGGGAGACAGAGTGGCCTGTAAGTTAGCGCAGGACTCCAGAGCGAGAAGTCTGGGTCTGAGTCGTCGCCGAGTCCTAGTGTTATGTTCTTGGGTAGGTCATTTTACTCACACGATGCATTTCTCCGGGCATGCGTATCGATGAGCAGGGAGCGGAGGTATCTCTGGCGAGATGGGCCCGTTTCTCCGTGTAAATGAACCAGAATGAAGTTGATAATAAATTAGGAGAGCAGAGAGGTGGGAGCTTATTAGGTTAGTGATGAGGAATAGGCGTGACTCTCGGAGGAGATAAACCTGTGTGGATGTTGAGGTGAAAAATGCTTACTTTCTCTGTAACGTTTCAATGTGTTCTTGATCCACTTCAAAAGAGTAAGTCTGACTCTGGAAAGAGATGACACCACAATTAGGTTTGAAGAGAAAAAAAAAACTTGTAAAGAGCACTAAACAAAATTTATTTAACTTTGAAGTCATACAAGTGGGTTTTAAATGTTTCTTTTCTTCAAACATATACAAACGCATGGTTCTTTACCAACCTCTTCTTCATCTTCGTCCTGGTCTATTCTCTCAATATAATCTGAAATGTCAGTTGGAATGGATGTCCCCTCTGACGGCTGATCCTAAGGAATTTTGATAAATTTTCATTGATGATATTTCATATGTTATAAACTACAAGAGGACCAGTTGAAAAAATATGTTTAAAAGCGAAAGGGAATCTGTTCGTTTTTCTTCTCACGCCTAAAAAAATTTCTGTAATGTGGAACATGAATCACCTGTTCTGCTGCTTGTGATGAGTCTCCATTAGATTCTTGTGGTTTATTCAACTGTTTTAAATCAGAAAAGTAAATAGATGGAAATGAAGCTATAGCTCATAACCTCTGAATAGCAGAATAATTGTATGCACCAGTGTCTACAATCAGACACTGGTGTTGGAAGTTAGTGTTTAGAATTGCACACTAGTGTCCAAAAATCAGACACTGGTGTCTACAATTGAATGCTAGTTTCTATAATCAGACTCTAGCTTCTAAAATAGGACACTTATGTAACAGTTTTTGTAAGTTTTTTTTTTACTTTTCTCAGCATTTTAGCATGTACTGCCAGGGGGCCTAATCAGCCTCATTACCCCAATTTGATATAAAGTTACTTACTTAAGGCAAATAACTTTTTTCAACCTATTGGTATGCCCTAAACACCTCCTGGATACATCCATTACAGTTTACAATTCAACCTGGCTAACTAAGCATATGGCACAAGTGCCTTTCACGTTTCCCTTTCTCCACCTTCAATGACGACTTTCCGCTCACAGTAGATTTAACAAGCTGGTCCTCTCCTGTGCCAAGTTCCATGTCTTCCTCTGTTCGTTTTCTACATTCTTGAATCTGTGGGTCTCTGAGAAGATGCTGAAGGACTTCCTATTTGAAAATCAATGATTATAACTCAGGTTAACTCAAGCCAATTGTTTAAGAATTAAATAGCAGAGTTGAGAAAATTTATAGTTAAACTGTACTTTATTCTGAAAGATTTCTGGCCTACTTAATCGTTAGAGGACTCCCGCTGAAAACTACTCAGAGTGATGGAGGTCTCCTCTTAAAATAAGTGTTTTTCATTATTATCATAAAGAGGGGAATCCTCTCAAATTTCAGGGGGTAAATATTCTAAAATAATCTTTATAAGGCGGGGGGGGGGAGGGAAAGAAAGGTGAGCTTCCACATCCCTTCCCTTCTGCCCTGAAACTAAGAAACAACATCTCATATGTTTTGGGAGATTTAAGATAAGATTGCTTAAAATGGTAAAGACATTAAACAATTTTCACACTAAAATTGTATTTCTATATTTAAAATTATGCTTTTATATACATCATCATCATTGGGACAGTGTACAGACATGCTAATCATACCCTTGATCAACTATACTGTGAGAGGAGAGATTCAATCTTAAAGACCTCTGAATATTTACTTACTGGATGGCTACTCTCCACAAAGTATCTGTTGTGTTTCAGCACCAGCTTCACTTTTCCGTAGCTCAATGTGCATAACTTGAGACAAACAAAGAAAACAAGCAAACAAAGGAGCAGAACATTGATTAAAAGGAAAGATAAATTCAAGGAAGCAGAGGACATTAATTGCATTACTCTACACTCTCATTCTATCAAATCTTTCACTATAAGATACCCACTCATATTTACCTTTATAAACTGGATTATGCCATCAGGGATTGTAGTTTTGCTGAGTCGTCTTAAATATTCAATGATATCACTTGTCTGAAAAATAGAGAATATCATTAGCGTTTTGTTTGCTGTGGTGAATTTTAGAGTCACATCATAAATAATATATTTTTTATGTTAGTTTAATATATTTTAACCTTCAGACAATTAAAGGACTGGTCAAAACATTGTATTTAATTTGCGAAGAGAAATAATGTAAACAAGAGCCTCTATTTGGCATGAAAATATGTACACATATTTGCCTGTAGATATTACCTGTTCCAAGAAGCGAACAGTGTCCCTAAAGCAAAGCTCAAGGAAAACTGTGAGCTTTGAGGAAAAGATAGTGTCCAAGGACAAATATCCACACATATTTTTGCACCAAATTGGGGCTATTGTTTCCATGAATTCTCCTCTTTGCAAATATTTTGCGATGTGCATGAAAAAAAGATTACGAACAGCTTACGGTATACAATGTGGGATGTTTTCCTTCGAGACTGTTCTCTGGTATGACTTAATGCAAAAAAAAAAGATTTCCATTCTTCTGTAACAACCACAAAAACCCTCTCTAATCTTGATTTAAATTTGAAAGAAAGAATTCTTGTAGTGGACGTAAGGTTTTAAAATTGGGGAATATCCCTTTCAAGGGTGATTTTCTCAGATATCACCCAGTTTTAGCTGGAGGAAATTGGGTCACATGCTGGATTAAGACCAATCGTGTGCAAGCCAAAATATTTTATGGAACATAAACTGTCACATCAAACAAAAGAAATCACCAAAAAAAAAAAAAAATCACACAAACAAAGGAGACCAAAAAGGAGATAACAAACATGCTATTGAAAGAATTTAAAAGAATTTCCTATTCAAGCTCTGATTCATAGGGAAATTTTACAAAATTCAATAAGAATGGCACTGAATCCATTTTTTTTCTAATTTATTCTCTTACAAAACAGTGTACATTGAAGCCTAGAGACTACAATCCTCACCTGGAGACCAACAGAGACAGCAGCATAGAGAGAATATGCTGTCAACCTTTAAGAAAAACAGTGTGACAAAAATTGAATCATACTATCACAAGTGTCTTTTATATGGATATCATGTTAAATACCTCACACAAAAATGATCACATTTTTTTTATTTCAGTTGAGAATAGTTTATCTTCAATAAATTATTATACAACGTGGAAAGAAAGAAAGAAATGACAGAAAAAAACAAATCAATCTGGGTTAGATCATTTTAAACTATTAAATGAATTACAAATGACACCAAGTAGAGCAAATCCCATTTGGTTTCAGGACATTGCTAAGGCATATCTCATTGCAAGTTTTTTTTTTTTAATTTTTGGCAAACTGAAACAGAGATCATCATTAATTGTATTTATTAATAATTTAATAATAATAATAGAGATAATAATAATAATAATAATAATTTAAGTATGTACTTACCTGTACTCATGAATGTGTTCTGGCCTGCAGACTGGCTGTTTAAACAAACCGTTTTGAAAAAAAAATTGAAAATATGTAATTGACTTAATTACAATAAATAATTAATCAATGTCAAGTGCACTTAAAAGTTTAAAAAAAATTAATCTTTCCACACTATCATGTTAGAAATAGGCTATGGTAAAACTGTTTTCAAATAACTTGGTGTGAGCTTAAATTAACCCCTGGTTCATTGTATATCATGACCTACCTCGGAAATGGCTATAAGAAAATCATGGGCATGTTTGTACACAGGAGAGAAAGATTCCAGGAAAATGTGACCATCAGGAGCCTGATAAGAGAAAAACAAAGAATTTTCTATTTCCTTCTCCTTTTTCTTTGGGCACAAATTTAATTATCAAATTACAGTTAAAATAAGTAATTTAAGACTTCAGCTGATACGGAAGCCCATGAAAAACCAAGGGGTTTTAGATGATGGATTCTCCCTAGCCAATATTATTATCACAGTGCTAATCTAAATTGTTCAGATGTAAAGAAAATGTTATTAATAATAATCTTTTTCATAATTTCAAAGATTGACTTTTAAGTTATAAATAATTAAGACTGATTAAAATCTGTTATGCCAGAAATAACTTCCTACTCACCACCCAGAGAGGTCTAGAGGAATGATCTGCTTTGAGCTCTATCAGCTTGCGATAATCTTTGGCTCCAAACTCATCCTAGCAGCAATCATAATTCAATTATTAAGGATTTTCATAGATAACCATTTTGACATCAATTGGTATTTCTGTATCCAAAGTCATGTCAGGTTTAGATATCAAATGAAAATAAATCACTCCTAAACTCACTTCATTTGCCTGATCATTCACTGTGGCAGAAGACGATTTTGGTGTAATCTCACCTAAAATTAAATTAAAACATGTCACCATTGATTATTCCATAGCCTTTTTAATCCTTTACACCCTAACATCAGTATTGATATTCTCCATACTGTTCTATATACATTTCCCAAGGTGCTGACAAGGAGAATTAGTATAACAATGAAGAACCTCTTTAGATGTTGATCATGTCCTTTATTCTCATGAACTAAATGTTTGATTTAGAGGTAATATTGTTGAGAGAAATACTAAGGAAGTCATTCCTAGGGCCGTAACAGGGTTAAGAAAGTCACGAGTTGACAAAGATCTGGAGTTTCATCGGCAATGGGGTAACAGATAGATCCACCTGCTAGTAATCAATGTGCCTGCTTCCTGCTTGTAGCCTTTAACCAAAATGTTATTGTAATCCTAACAAACATGTGATTCTCTTCAAACTGGTTTTCACTTAGGAACAACTAAGCAACATAATTTAGCAGAGACCCTTAAAAACAGGATATTGAAACTTCAGTCATCTACATC